GGGGACACCCCCCAGTATAGCTCCATGGGTCGCTGAGGTGCGCATACCGTCTTTTTTCGGATAAGATATTCTGCATTCGTTTTTGGTAAGCTGTTTACTCTAATAGCTTCTTGATTGTTGATTTCTTTTTACCTATCCTCCCCTCGTCAAATAGGACCTTGCTGCATGTTTATATGATTTCCAAACTGCTCAAAGTGCTTGTCCCGAGTGCCCAGATGTTTACTTGCACCGTGGCCAAATCAATTTGTTGGCGGATCAGCTGGATGAGGCATTACACGATTTAAACACTGCTGTGAAATTGAAGCCTGAATTCTCCATTGCGCAGGTAAGCATGTGCGAAATGTTTGACGTGCTCCGAGTTCAACTATTTTGGTCACATGTTGCACGCCGTTTTATTTAGCATCTCATCATGTTCATTTGAGGATCTTAACTTCCGATCACGTGACCTATGCCAGTTCACCCTGGTATGCTACTTTGACTGCCCGCAGCGATTGGTTGATAACGGCGATTTCCGATCACAAGCAGCGATGAACACACTGCGGTTGCTTATTTATTTTCTGACTAACTGTTTCCCGCCTTGCGGTCAAACGTGCACTGAGGAAAACTGGACGATATATCTTGATATGCTTATGATGGTAACAAGACTTGTGACCACAAAATATGTACGAAAAATTTGATGATGTCTCTATCTTCCATGTGCCTCAGCCTCTTGAGGTCCATGTACCACGTTGTCTGTCTCACTAGCTGTGCTGAAATTTAACTTGTGGTCTATCGCTACTTCTGAATAAATTGCTCACACGACTTTAGTCCAATGCCTACTGTACATGTAACTTTCAGACATGACTAAGGTCCACCTGGCATTCCCAAAAAAAGACCACTGTAAGTTGAATCACCCAACCATGTGAGTTTCACATCGATGTTAGTCTGAAATTCAGACAACCTTTGAATACAGCTCTCGGTTAGAATTTCCTTTAGTCAAATTAGAAAACTACACGTCCCTGATGAACCCCCTACAGAGCGAAATCGACATTAGGTCGCTGGCGAATCAATCTTCCCATACTGCTAATAGGCAGTGAAAGTCGCTTGCGCTCAGTTGAGTCTTCTGACGCAGTCACCGGTGGTGCCTATTGCAGTTGTTGTTGTTGTCTGCTTGAGATGCAGTGCTCATGTATCGGAGAGATAATTTGTGGTTTTTCACTTCGTTGCTTTGCCACATCATAATTGGCAGAAACCCCGGACGAGAACATTGATGCACACGACCGTGTCAATTCATTTGAATGAAGGCTTATAACCGAAAGGAGAGAAAATGGAATAAGATGGCTTGTTAATAAAGATGGTTAGTAGCTGCCGTAGTGTGGTTGATCGTTGAGCACTTGGCGCTTTTCATCCAGCGGTTTCGTCCTCAGTCAAGTTGATATCATAAGCGAGTAGTGGTGCAGCGTACATCTGCACAACGATATTCACTGCTTAACTACTTACTTGTGGTGTTAACTCGATTGGTGATGTAACGTTAGCGGGAAAGTCGAGCACGGTGGACAACCCAACCATCGGCTTATTTCAGGCAACACCGCTGGATGGAACAATACGTGATAATTCTCAATGATAAGCATTTTTTGTTATATTGGGATTTATTTTCGTTTCGACATCTGCTTCTTCGTGGTTCTTATTGTTTGACACCAAACTTGCGCGTTCGTAATGGCTTAGGTGGCCAGGTCATTAAATAGGTTCACACTAATACGCCAGTGTTACGGATATGCAAGAGGTCACAGCTGGCATGTCTACCAGAAACGGAGCAACACAATCTGCAACGCACATTTGTTTCCTACGCGATTAGGATTTCATTTCTTCCTCACGAGGAAGTGCGGAAGCAGTTCTTCCCATTTATCATTCCTCCTATGAAACAACACCTCCACCGAGGAGTGTCCGGGGATTTTCTTCGGAAAGAACATTACATGGTGTGATATCAATAAAGAGCGTTCGCCCAGCTGATAAGCCACCAGTGGTTGGAACCCCGGGTGCTTGTCCTTACTTATGATAGCACAAACGGTTAGCACGAAGCTGGGTGTGTCACTGCGAGTGAGCATATGACTATGATGTAAACACAAAGGAAGAAGATCAACAGACGATCTCGCAGCTATCCATTGGCTTAAACATGACGGAACTGCAATAAACCCTAGCCTCGCGTTAAACAATAAGGTGTATGTGTCATCCGCCAACTCCTTTGCATTTCAATATAATAGCGCACTTCAACCGTGCAATGCAATAGAGTCGTCCGTCGGGCACTGTACGCGACGAGTCATTCCGGTTACCATGGCTTAACAGTACATAGGGACACAGTTTCACCCATTGGGAACTGGAACGAACTCACCTCAACTTATCCGTCGGCGTTTCGCAACTGACATAGTATGTGGTAGCTGATATCCTGCAAGTCCAATGTTGTCCATGTACATTTGAGTCCACAAATTGAGCAACACCACAAGCTTCCCGGTGTTTGGTGTCGATGTCCTTGTTCAGAGTCGCTCAGAACTAGATTGTTTACGATCGAGTGTCTAGACCCACTGAGATTCGAGATGCGCTACATCCACTTCTATGGTCTTTCTCCAGTCATATTTGCCCGGCGTTAGACTTTCGCCGAATGTAGACTCAAAGTTAGTGCTTCTTAAACTCATCTGTAACTTGTCACCATATCCTAGTTTTGGCCTTTTTCGGCCTCTCAAGCCATTCTTCAACTGCCCCTGTAACGAGGACCAAGATCCGACACAATGCGCTCCACTTGCCTTGAGCAGTGAAGCTGATTTTGAGTTAAGCTGTTCTTCCACACGTTTTCGCCTTCGGAGAGTATTTGAGACCCGGTCTGGGTACAACTTTCCGCGTATGCTGCATATGAAGTCTGTCGAGGTTTCGAACATGACACCTGTAAACCGCACAGAAGTGGAGACAGTATGACAGCACGCTACTCGTGTTACATATATGCATATGAATTGTAATCTTGTATATTTCGAGCTAAGCACGAAAGGAAGATTACATCCACAGTAGTAAACAGCACTGTACAAGATCAACATCGTGCGTGCACCAGTATACATGGCAGAAAATTGTATGTCGTGCTCATGCCCTAAAAGTCCACCTTTTTTGTTCGATCGCTGGATCGAGTACGCATCAACTGAGCTTAAATTTATAAGTACTGTTTTCATCGCTTGGTTTCTACACCCCAGCTTCACGATTCGGTAGCTTCTACTGAAAAGGCTCTATCCTGTCACAGTGTGACCACAGATATTGACCTTACATTACTGTACGCTACTTACGCGGCTGATCAGTCCACGAGACACATATTCACTCGGTCTTTACTCGTAATGTCAGTCTGAATTATCAACACACCCGTTTACTGGAAACCACTTAACAGTATGAGACGGCAAATACTGTATCTTGGATAAACAAGGGTGTCTAGACTTACTTCATCTATTTGGCATTGAGAAGGATGTCCGCAACTTAGGTAGTGTAAATGGTCGTTGACTTGTTCGCTGAGCTAGGAAATTTGATTACAAGCGTTTCTTCAGCAATCGAGGGGGTGCGCCACTGCGTCCCGTAACAACGCACTCGATTGGTGATGAAACGTCTGCAAGCAAATCAACCAGCTCGGCGAACACACCAACGACCATTTATCTCATCCACCCAGCATGGTATCTTGTTTGTTGATCCGATAACCGGTAACTGGCTGGGTTATTCTGTAGAATCTCCGAGTCATAGTGCTATGAATCATTTCTGTGCACTTCCAACAGCCACGTCTTTCAAGTATCTTCTCTTCTTATTCCCTTTCGTTCTTAATTCAAGGCTCAGCGGTTGTACACGCTTTACAGAAAAGCCCTTAGTGATTCGAATTCAGAGCGGGCGCTCAGTCGGGTGCAAGAGTTCCGAAAACTTTCACAGAAATACCCCAACTGTTTGGAAACACATTCCTTATTTGCTCAGGTAAGTACAATTCGTGCTGGCTTGTCTATGCTCCTGTCCTGATTTTTACTGCTGTGAAGAATGAACATCCAGTGCTTTATTGTCCCCGTTCGAAAAGACTGGCTGGAGGACCCGATGAAATACGCAGTAAATTAACTCGAAAGTATTCTCCAAAGTTTCTTCCTAGCGATGGTCACAAGAAGACTGGGTCTTACAATGACGTGACGGTTTTTTCATATATAACTCACTGGGCTATACTTAAATCTCCGTGTCAAACGTGGAAAGTTTTTCATGCTAAGTTCGTCGAGAGGTAAACGCCCGAGTAATACAGTCCTTGGACCCCCAAGTTGGAGGCCGAAACATATGGCGACTTGTTCCCTAGGCGTCAGACAACTGCGGTAGCCTCACACCAATGGTCAGGCTTTTGAATCGAAGGATTTGGTTTTTGCTACCTTTATCATCCTCCCACCTAGGTTTTGGGTGTTCTGACAATTTCACAGCCCACGTACAGCCTTGCATACTTGGCACACCGTTATCTCCTACCAAGAAATGTTTTAGTTTCAGTGTTAGATTCAGAGCGTTGTAAATTGGGGTTACAAGAACTCTGAGTTCTGTCTCGTCTTTCGGAACGGCTCCAAGTGATTCTTCCTGTACTTAGCTAGATACATCATTGACTGATGAAGCTAATGGTGGTCAACAATGTTCTAATATCTATTTGCTACACAGCAATCTTAAGCGATGTGCAGCCGGTTGTCGCTTCCCTTGGAAAGCAAAGAGCTTTGTTTCTGAGCGTGAATGAGGTAAACAGACGTAGTGTAGCCCCTGTAACTCTCGGCTGTTCTCTAGCATCAAAATCTCCGAAACCGGACGCGTACGCCTTCACGTTGTTTGTCCACCTTGACAGAAGGACGACCGGATAGATTAAATACACTGCCTCGGGCGGCTGTCACGTACAGGTATCTTATTTAATCTAGTTTTTAGTTTTATTTGCCTCAAGTTTGTCGGTGGTGTACATCATTCCATGGAGAAATTTAATGCGTGGACGTTTCAAGTCTTGTATTTGATGTGATGTTCCGTTGAGGGAAAGCGAATGAAATGGTCAACTCGTTTCATCTCGTTTTTTGTTCATCCCAACAGGTATTGACGGAGCGCGGTGAATTCAGTGCCAGTGACGAGGAGTTTGCCAAAGTCATTGAACTAGCACCAGACTCTGGTCTAGCCTATGCACATCGTGGTTTGTTACAGTTGCGATGGAATCAGGACCGGGATGCTGCATACAAGTGGTTCAGTATGGGAGCTAAGGTGATTTCCACTTCCTGTTGATCTAGTCACAGTTAACCCTGCCTTTGTCAGTAAGCACGCGTGTTTTTCAGCACAACTGTCTGTCTACCGCATGTTTTTCAGGCCTCCCCTCATTTTCACTTGAGCATGAGTATGCACTGATGTGTACGCACTGTCTGTTTCCGTGGTGGGCGCCCTTCCCGAGAGATTCACTGGCGAGCTGCAAAACCATTGAAATCTAGAACACTTTATTTCATTTGGCAATCACGATATTCTTGTTCTCTTCAGATTGAGTTCTTTGAGGAACTTTTCCAGCTTTCTTTAGCTTGTGTTGGGTGTGGCTTTCCAGTATCCACTGAGACCTGAAAATCGGTTCATGGTTCTGTCTGGATCATCACTACCCATTGCACCTGACTTGGAATTGCGTGCCATAAACGTATAAAAACCCAGTCTTTTTTAAACGTTACCACCCTTGGATGCCGTTTCCACCTCCGCGAATGAGGTAGGTGCCGGTTCCAGATTTTTCACACACAGTTTCACTTTCATGAACAACCATGTGGTGTTGGTCACTTCTATTTGTTGTCAATGTACGTTACGTTGTAATTCCTTCCTTTTTTATTTAACTGGTTCCCATTGGCCGAGACTCGAAAAATTTCACCCTTTAGGTTGTTACAAATCCCCATTCTTTTTCCCGTTCTTTCTTCCAGGCCGACCCTAAGTGTGAGCTGATCCACGAACTGCTTGGTCAACTGGCAGTTGAGCAGGGCGAGTTCCAAACTGCATTGGACCACTTCAACATGGCCATCCGCGAGGCTAAAACGCAGAACGATTTGGCTCACCTGATCGCTCTTCGAGAGGGAGTTAGCGCTCAGAATAGTGTGTGTCAGAAATACGGCATTTCCGTCGCAGACGTAGTGAGCAACTTACGTCGCGAGCAGCAGCAGATGATGATGATGGGCATGGCGTAGTTTAGATCGCCAGTAACGGCATCCAAACGAAGGTATTGCAATGCCGACTAACATCAGCACTTTAGTTTCACATTCTCCTTCTCTGGGGTTTGGTGTATGTACGGGTTTGTGTACCAAAAACACCGCTCCGATGCGCGCCAACACAGCAATTTGGACTTCGTGCATCTTTCTATTTTGTATAATTGTTTGCATCTTCTTCCTGACCTTCACCCGACCGTTGATTTGTTCTGTACACTAGCTCACATCCACCGCTTATTTTCCATTTTTCTCCTCGACCGTGTTCGGTCGGAACGACCAACTTCCTCAGTCTTGACCGAGCATCTTCTCCAACAGCCCCTTCATTCAAAAAAAGTCTCATTCGCCCCATTTTCCGCTAGCCTAAGGTGCTATTTGCACGCACTTCGGTCGACTGATGCGTACAGTTCTTTTTAGATGCATTTATACTTTTGCAGTTCCTTTGGGTGTGTTGGGAAAGTATGGAATCGGTTGGGTGTCATTGTAGTATCAAGATGGCACTCTAGTTGATACCCGGGTGAAGATTGCTATGTACAAGGGGATTTTTGCTTGGTTTAGAACGCGTCCACATTTGCTAGGAAATCGATACCTAGCGAGTACGTATTCGTATTACCGTCGTTTAGACAGCGCCCTTCTTGTCCGGGTCCATTTTTTCTGATGTGTCGATGCCAAAGCACCGGACTCGAGAGTCACTCTTGTTAGAGCCTATCATCCAGGTGAATCCTTGGTCATGCGGAGCTTTGAACTCCGGGTATCTGACGTGCGACGTGAGCGCGTTAACATTAGTCCACGGACGCATAATGGACACACCTGTATCATTATGTGAATGTGTTCACGCGTTCGCCTGTTTTGACTTGACCATTCAGATGTGTGCACCGTGCGGTGTTGGAGTAGCAGTAGCGCTGGGGTCGAATTTAGGATAATGATAGTAATCGTTCAGCTGTAACACACTTCCGATGCCTAGCTGCCATGCCACCCTAAAGAAGCACGAGGGCTGAGATACTGCCACACTACTCAAACCTAAGCAGGAGCAGTCGAGATGCAGAGGTCTGGTTCGAACCAGTCAGTCGACTTTCCCGTCAGTAAACCGCGCTTTGACCACCGAGCCACTTGGTCTTTCAAACTGTTTTTACCGGCTACTTTTTTGTGATGTCGGACTGAGAATGTCATCTTTTTGGTTCCACAGCATCATCCACAGTGTTAACTGTGCCTTCAGGTTCTTCATTGGGATTAATACCCCATTTTTACTAGCCCCTGGCCCGATAGTTAAGTTGCCGAAACAAGTGTCAGAGCACAGCGGAATCTCAAAGCGTGTTTAAGTCATTTTCCTAATCAGCACGCACTGACGCTTGTCACAACTTCACCAGGAGAATCTGTTCAGGTGGAGAACACCTTTCTCACCTCAATTTATCAAGCTATTCACACTTTTAGTACAGTACAGTCAGAACCGTATTTCATAGGCTAGATGATAACCCTATACGATCTAAGCTTGCGACACGAAATTCGGTTATACTAACAGAACAAGTTCAACACTAGAATCTTGTCGTTATGATTCGAGCCTGAGCGCATCCTACATTATAAACTGGTTGACTTCTTCCTCCCCAGTGCCACTGCTTTTGTTGTTCGGTTCGAACGTTACTAATTGTGCGGTGCAGTATTCGCTGTTTTTGGCAAACGATGTTTCCTGTGCCGGTCGCGGCCGAATAATTACCTACAGCAGTACGCTGGTATCCGCTACTGGTGGTTGGAATGGTTGTGTGAAATAGCCTAAAGCCCTTCGGGACAGCTATGAAGAACAATGTGTCCACGTTTTCGAGCACTAATGAACAGTATGCCGGATCGGCACGCTCAGCATCCGTTCCGAGCGTAACACAACACAATCCAAGCTCAAGAAGAAAAAAAACATTAATTTGGCGCTCCGGGAAGGCATGTTGGGCCCTTGGATTGGTTATGTACCATATCTTGTAGAGTTTCCAACCTCTGTAACACAACAATCCAAGCTGAAGAAGAAAAACGAACATTAATTTGGCGCTCTGGGAAGGCATGTTGGGCGCTTGGATTGGTTGTGTACCATATCTTGTAGAGTTTCCAACCTCAACACAGAAGGCGCGAATTCTCTATAGCTGTGAGCTTTACCGTAGTTGCTTTCATTTCTCGTTGCAGGGCTTTGGCCTGTTACCTTTGAAATTTTCAAAGTCAAGATTCCTGAATGGGAAACTTCTGTTTGTAGCCTGCGTAATCACCTTGATCTAGTTGACCTAATTTGCGGACCCAGCGATTTTGATTCGCTTCTAAGTGTTGCAGACGCACCAATTTGTCGGGGACGCACGGCAACCAGCTAGATCCTGCCATGCCACAGAGGCACCAGAAATCTAATGGTTAAGGGAAATATACGGATGAGTCGAGAAAGATTTCAGTTTCCTTCTTACATTCTACAACCAAGTTACGGTTCTCTGATAGGTAGGTGAAATTTGGCTTGCAAAATGTCAACAATGTGACCTTAGAACTACTTAAATCTGAGGAGTAAGCTGATTCTCGGCTGTCAGTTATTTCCACAGTGTGTTCCAGATGCTCTCGCGAAAAAATACGGGCTTTCGTCACCGGTATATATCGAGCTCAGACTACAGCGTCCAGTTTACTTAGGCAAATATACGTTCCGATTAGCGCTCAAAAAGAACTAGACCAAAACAAAGGAATGGCTAACAAACGCTCTACAGTCTGCTCTGAAGAATGTTTAGAGTTTAACTTATGCTATTGTGATGATACTGGGAGAAGAGCTCAGTCGAAGGCTACTGAGTAATTCAGACTCCCAGGAGTCTGTCTGTCTCCGATATTGCTAAGTGATTGATAAAATCGCCACAGCACCGATACGTGCTGTCGTTAACAGCGCTTCCTCATGTCGGCCAAACTGATTTCTTTGATAAAATAACCTTAAAAATACTGTGGGTGATACGCAGTGCTTTCCCTGGTGCGATATGAATTGTCCGATTAGTTCTGAGATTAAGCGGGAGGATAGTCACCGTGGCAACATGAGCGTACATCGAGTCGGTAGTGCACAAGAGCTAGTGAAAACATTCACTTTTCAGTCCTATGGTTGTGAAGAGGTTAGTGTCACCACAATTTGTCTAATTTGACTAGGCACGCATTCAGTTGTACGCAGACGCCACATTTTTTAATTCACAATTATGATTACCTTATCTATAGGATCAATCTCAAATCGGTATGCGATTGCCAAACAATTATTCGGTGTTTTCTCCCGTCCACCTCTCAACGACTTTCATATTGGTTGGTTTAATACAGTGAAGTCTCCGGAACATGTGTGTATCCCTTGGTGCAGGACGTCCCTTCTTCAGCACTAATCCAAATGTCAAACAGAACTGTTTGTGGGCAGATTGTTCGCCCTTAAAGGTATAGCATATACGAAAACATGAGTAGTTGGACGGCCGTATAAAGCCACTGAAATAAAATCATAAAAATGATGCAATACGGGGACTGTTTGCAACAATTCAGGAAATGTGCTTTTTAGTTGTCAGCTGCGCTGGTCTTGTTAGCGAAAGGGGAGCTGAACCCGGATACAGCAATCTAATGTGGTCACTACCGCGATTTAGTTTGATAGAAAGAAGATGACAACCTACTTTTCTTAGATGTAACGCTCAAACGATGGGGTGACATTTCAATTTGACGTAACACAACGTGGACCAGACAGCATGTAAACTTCCACGGTTTTGCGCCCAACTGAATTTTCGTTGAAAATACTATGCTTATGAATCTAGACTCCGGATTTTAGTATATATTAGATTTCCAGTGTTGTCTTTGATAAACTCTAACAAATGGTATCATGGGTCCTGTTTTGCAGATGTGTTTGAATAGCTAGTGTGCATCCCACACGGAGCTGGCCACATGCATTGCCTGAGCCTTCTGTTTTCACTCCGACTCCCAATGCGCAGACAAACCGTTTTTTCTCTCGACGTGTAACAGAGCGTTTAGCTGAAACGGTCTGCGGCCTTTAATACAGTTGCTTAATGCATAAGCGGAAACTCTAAGGGTGGTCAGCACTTTGACCGGTCTAAATTAGGGAGGTGGACAGACAAAAGGTACAGAGGCGACTGTTTGCAGATATCCAATCAGATGAGGAAAGTTCAGTTCGGGAGCTGAGATCTGTACCAGCACCAACCTATTGCGGCATTTAAAGAACCGTCCAAATTTTGGACTCGATAATGTGTGCAAAGCAAAGTTACCGTAAATCCACTTAATCTACTTGAATATCTTACTGATATTTAACAAACGCAGCAAACATGTATCGATTAAGTGTCAGTAGTATGTGCGAGTACAGCTTTTTAACCAGATTGTCTAAGAGTTTGAACATTGACAGCTGCAACAGAAACTGGGGAATGGGACTTGACTAGTGAACGTGGGGCGGCAGGTGTGAGTAATTCATCGCTTCCTTTAGTGTCCGACTGACTTCCACACAGCTTAGAGAGAATGGGCAGAAAATGCGGTAGTTGACGAGTTGGAGGAGAATGATGATCAAGAAAGGGACCTAAATAGTTGCACTAATTTGCTTACTCGCCCTGATGTATGTAGTGAATAAGGCTACTCGGCTGATGTCACTAAGCCACAGCGGACTTGTCATGAAGGTATGTGGTGTATGGACTGCGAGACTGTTAGGGCGTACAACCCTACAAAAGATTATGATTAGAGTCTTTAACCAGCGTATTTGCCTCAAAAGCCTATCCATGAAGCAGCAGTTGTCGGTGTGATGCTATCGTTTTAGTCTAGTTTATTAAGAAGCCAGTTGATACACATTTTCTAACTCTCAACCTGGGCTGGGTCAGGACGATTCAAAAGTAAGGATAGTTTTCCACAGAACCGTTTGAGGTCCGTAAAGCGTGGCTGAATGATATTGAACGCGTTGTGCGTCGCACGACACAAATAGATAGGTGTGGAAACAATGAAATGCAGCAGACTCACCCAGGGGATTGGCGGATAACTCCTCGGATAAACGATTGAGATGCCTGTATTCACAAGGAAATGAGCACGTAGTGGAGAGCTCACATTGAGACTCCTGAACTTGACAAGTTCCCGAGTCAGCGTTACCAATCCAGGTTGAACTGGCTCAACTCATTTGATAGAGGCATACTCGACTTGCAGTGTACCTTGGGGATTTTGCCTGTTCACGGTTTCCCGAGAAAATTAGTGCGAATCGATTATTTCTGGTAAAACTGTCCACTCTGTATGCTAGGGGCAAACCTGAAAGGTCTTGTTCTATATGGAGGAGGGAGACAACCATCACTTGGAATTCGAGATCATTTTTAAATGAGATGACTCTAGATATGTCGTGGCTTGTGTGATCGATATATCTAACGGACAATGTCTGGCTAAACATTCGTCCTTCTGGAGTTACGAAATTTAGCTG